AATTGGCTGAAAATGCCAGTTCATAAATTTTTGCTGATAAAACCGAACGAAACTCTTACGAAGTGCTGTTGCAAAAAAGACCAGCAAAGGCGGGTATCAGGCACAAAGCCATTATCTTGCATGACAACACCTGGCCACAGATTGCAAGAGTTGTCAAGGATATATACAGTTACAGTGTGAATGGTAAGTTCTGCGGGACCCAGCGCGCTCACCAGACATAGCGCTCGAAGGAACTGTGTAGCGTATTCTTTGAGGAGGTAACTTTCACTGCCCCGTAAGCTTAAGGATAGTACTTTCTGACGGAGAAATCGCAAGAATTCATTTACGTTGTCAGCATTTATAAATTTTTTCAATAAAATCGTGTTCCTTTTTTTGATAGCGCTTTGTGAGTTTTAGTTCCGTACTTTGCTTGCCTAATTTCTTCTGAGTTTCTTTTAATCCAACGAGAAAAGAAAGTAAGACAAGGGTAAGAATAGAAAATACTTCTGAAAATAGTTATGCCGGTAAGTTTAAGGAAGGAAGGAGGTAGAGATATTAGAATTTCTAGGAAAACTACGTGGAAAATAATTCATGTTTTCTTGCAGTTAGGTGGTTGCAAACACTCCGTAAACTCCGTAGTCAATTCCTACCAACAACAACATATGAGTTTTGGGTTTAGTGGTGCGATCAATTTTCTTCTAAACGTATTCACAAAACAGTCGATAGGTTTTAGTGGTTTTTTAGTGGTAAGCCATTCTAATATCTAGTAACATGAACAGTAAAAGATCTTTTGGCCGATGAGTTAGACAAATGTAATATTAATATGAAAAGATTTTTATTCGATCTAGAAAACTGTAGTTTTTCCAGCTCGGTTTATTTACCGTATTTGTGGAGCTCGGGCAGTTTATTTACCGTATTTGCTTTATCATGCATGTTCAGTGCTTTATAGTGCCATTTTCTCTCTTTCTTTACTTCCCAAATTATATCTAGAGAAGAAAAAGCAGCCCGATAATTCTGGCAAATTAAAGGAGAAGTCAACAATCTATCTTTGCTCTGGATACCAAAGAAAACTTTAATCGTTGTTGTCTGCATTTATATAAGAAATTAAAGTTATATAGTTATGGTTTATCCAAAAAAATGAACATCTCTCGCGATCACAACATAAAAACAGGAGAGTTACAAAATAGTTGAGTTCAACTACAATTATAAATATTCTAATATTAATTATCCTGAATTTAAGTAAAGCAATAAGAAGTGACCTTTCCTCGAGAAAATACTTTTTCAAAAAGACTTCTCGCCTTTTTCATTCTTATGCACATAAGCAATATTCAATCAGATGATTAATTTTTTAAGTGCCTATTTAACTAGCCGTAACAGTTCAAAAATCACACCCTTTTGCCATAGGTGAAGTTACTTTCTTGAGAATACTGGTATGGTAGATCGCATGAAAAATAGACAAACAAAGATCCTAATTTAACGCAAGAACTTCGTATGTCAAATCAAATTTCTATTGTTAAATACCAATTATCATAAAAACGATTATTTTTTGTAGGAATATTTCAATGGTAGGATCTTCAAAGAGCCATCCCATACCTTTCAAATTTTACGCTTTAACTTAGTACGTCAAAATACTCCTTTCTACAGATTTGGGATGAAAATATTAAAAATAGTAGTTTTTTGTTTGAATAGGTCGTGACCAATGGCCGTAAAAATGGTATACTCCAGAACCAAATTTCATCATAAAATCTTCTAGTTGTAGTTTGAACACAAAAATATCTGAATAGAAATAAACAGACAGATATACTTAAACTGTTTCAGGAAATAATTTTGAATTAAAAGGCAAATAAAAGATAAGTCTATCTTATAGGATTAATATATCCCTACCACAAATACTCTAAAGTAGAAAGACGTGAACGACTTCCAGGAAGTAAAGAATACATGCATAATTTTTGGTAAAAAAAGAAGGAATTTCGGTGCGAGCTTAAAGTACGTCTAACAAATATTTCAGAGGGCTACCGTGAAGCTTGGTTTAAAATTGTCTACCATAGCCAAAAAAGTTTTCGCCAAAACACATTCGAGAAAATACACGTAAGAAAGTTATATTCGGCTGGATCCGAATCTCGCAAACCCACCACTATGCTTTTTGCATTCTATACTCTAAGTTCTTTTATTTAATACCCGTATCGATAATATTGTTAAGAAAAAATTAATCACTGTGCCTACCGTATTCATTTCATAATTAACCCATTTTTACGCAGATAACACATCTTCGCTTCAGGAGCGCGCAAAATAGTTTTAAACATTCTGTCTTGATTGTCTCATGATAAATAATTATTAAAGCTCAAAAAAGTGAAAAAAATCCAAATATAATTGCTCGTAACTTTGTGTGGACCTACATAGTAAAGTGTCTCGTAAAGCAAATGTGGAAGGCCTTCAGCCTTCTAACTTTAATTTCCGAGTAACGAGTAAAAACCCACAAATTTTTGGTCAAAAAAAACGGAGTTACGTTCAATTTACGTTCCACAGCGCGCTTCTGCTCTGACCAATTTGGCCCATTTTCAAGACCAAGCCGCGTAAAAAAACGTTCAATGTTTCTAGCAAATTTAAAGCCGATCTCTTAATTTTTGCGAGCAGGAGAGTGCCAACAACACGTACCACACAGATAGACAAACAGAATTTCACGCTGATCAAGTATATGTATATTGTATGAGGTCTCTGAAGATTTCTTTCATACATACATTATGGAAAAAAGTGAGTATGCCATCATCCTCACCCTGGATCAAGCGGTTTCACTCACAGCCAATATTATATTTATAGAATAATTTTACGAATCCCTAAACCTCTTTCTTGAGGGGGCGTCATATTCTTCTATAACGTTTTTGCAATAATGAAATCAGGAATACTTCTTGGTCTATTATTAAAATTTTCACAGTCACCAATACAGGGGTAGAGATAAATGATTCATTCCAGAAGCTGAATTTGAGATCTGACTAAGACAGCAACGGCATATCCGGAAAAGACTCTATGGACTGTAATTGGAAGAAGCAATTCAAAATTATTATTATAATTTATTTAGGCCAAAAGAATAAATTTTAGGACTAAAATTAGGAAGAGCACTGGCAGCTAAAACTGTTAACTCCACCTTTTTTTCTCTTATTGAGATCTATTAGATGATCAATTTTAAAGTTCTAAAGATATTTTCAAGATATCCATAGCATTAGATGCTCTGAAAGCTAATATTCGCATGTATTAGAAAAGCCCTTACATTCACGCAGCTTGTCGCATATCGGAGAAGTAGAATTCTTAAGGATCCATTCAAAATTGTGAAAGTATTTCATCTCAATCGTTTAACTGAAAATTAAATACATCGTTTTGAGTGAATTTACTTTTCCTGTTAACAGTTGCTAAACGGATTGAGGCAATATTTCCGGCAATCTACCGCCATTTAAATTAAATTTTAAATAAACAACGTTTTTGAAGATTTGCTTCATTATATCCATTAGAGAGGGGGTATTAGGTTATGAATGTTATGGGGGTCCAAAAAAAATATATGCACATGTTCTCAGTATAGATACATGACTGAAATTCCGCATGTTTACTTGTCTATTCGCGGGAACTATGATAATATGAGTTCACCACTTTCAATAAAAGAGCGAATTTGATGTTGCTCTCTTTTTTTTATCTTTCTCTCTCTTAGAGGATTAAATAGTTTTTGAAATTTTAAAAAATTAATTTTGTTTTTAATTTTCTTATCTACTACTACTATTAGTGCTGCTATCACCATTTCGAACCTTGGACGCATCTATCGCATATCGTTATTTAAACGAATGGATGGATCTTTTTGAAATTTTGCTGAGTTCTCCTAAATAGGATTGGCTAATGCTTGAATGATGATTTCCTTCTTTGTTCCCAACTTATCTTACAATACAAAGTGGAAATTTAATTGAAAATAATCTTTCTTTGCGCATAATTTGTGAACACAAAGTAAGACCAATATTCAAGTTAAGAAGATAGACACCCGTATCAAATTTCAAATCAAAAACGTTGTTAGTTTTTCAGCTGCGCTTGTTCTTATAAAAATTTTGTCAGATTTTTAAAATGTTTGTTAAGGAGTCATATTGCATGACTAGCAGGGAATCATAACACACATTAGTAGGGTAGATGGGACTTGAATCTGTGGATATGATCTGAAAAACACAGATCAGTCAAGCAAACAACGTCCAAACAATGAGCCAACACTTCTCGCGATTTTAACAGTTTTCTTCGATTATCGAGGTGTTGTGTGCTCTACGAATTCTTTCTGTCAGGCCAAACTGTTAATAGAGAAAGTTATTGAATGTTATCCACAAAGGTTTTTAAATTTTAAAATTTAAAAATTGAATTGGTCTTGCTTTTTGTTCATAGCAGTATTTCTGGCAAAAACTCAAATGGCGGTCAAATATCTAAATAGTCAAAATTCGTTGAAGCACGAGCAATAACTAACCTATTAAGGGAAATACTTGGTCCTTTGAATTGACATAAGGTTGTCACGAGTGAACACGCCCACCGGGAAAATGAATGGTCTCCGAAAACGATGCCTCAGCGATTAAGTGTTCTGCATTTGTAGGCTTAAATGTTTGAATAAAGTAATTTTTTTATTATTATGAAGTTCCTCTGAAGTTCTCTAGCTTTGAAAGTATTGTATGAGAAAGCCAAGGGGTCAGAAACGATGCCTTTTACTTTTCAAATTTCCAACAAGTACTAGCATGATTCGAGCCCATATAAAAAATGCAGAAGCAATGATGAGTTTTAAGAAATCTCATCCATGTTTGTTCTTTTCTATGCAATTTTGTATTAAAATTGTATAAATAGATTAGTTAAATCTTGCTTATGTTCCAGTTTGCCACATCGTTCCATTTCGATTGATCATTTGCACCTAAACTGGTCTGCAAATATCCGGCGTAAGTGAAATGCTTAGCAAATTATTGCAAACAAGAGTTTGTGTAAATTTTACTTTTTGCTCACATTAAGAAGCTTTTTTAATGAAATTTATATCGAAAAATGATCACAATTATCATATTTGTAGGATACAGTTAACACTTTAAGAGAGTATGAAAAACATTTCATTTATTGTTGTTTATTGTGATATATTGTTTATCAATTGCTTGGCTACACTAGGCACTGCGGGTTTTGCGGCTTGTTTCACTTACGTCACTTGCGTCTGATACCGAAAAGTCTAAAAAATCTCTTAGGAGACAAAGAAGTAATAAAAATTGGGGTAGATCCTGCAGGAGATGCTCAAAACTTGCAAGAAGACTATGGCATTTACGTGGCTAGCACCGTCCACATACGTTACTTGACCGTTGTGCTTCGGTGTAAACCACTTAGTTTGGAAAAATTGTCGAAATCATTGTTAAACGTTGATTTTGTTAAGCGATGGTATATAGCTAGTTCAAATTGGGAATTCGAAAAGTTGAATCCTGATCAAGTCGAATACACTGTTAATGACGCATTCGCGGGTATAGAGATTTTTAAGCATTCGGCCAATCGACTGACGCCCAGGTAATTCGTACGAAATCAATGAAACCGTTATTGCGTAATGAAATTGTTTGGAATGCTTTTAGGAATTATTGGAACTTCACAAACGCCGACTTTATGGCGATCATGTCCGAAATTAAATAACTCTTGGACCGTGGTTTTTCCGAAGACACACCAATAATGCGAACCCATTACACTACTTTCCAACAAAGATTACCTTCTTGAAGCGCTAAGTGACCGACCTTTGTGTGTCGTGAGTAAATCGAAAGCCAAATGGTATTTAGAAGAAAGACTAGGAGAGAAAATACAATCTGAAGCATTTACCTTACGTTTATGCAACCAACCGTTTGCTGAAGATAATGATTATTGGCAGACCTCTAATCAACGTGAATAAGTTGTCTGCGGCATAAAGATGCTTTTTTTTTCTTAAGATATGGTGCCGAGCGAATATCGTATGCATTTTCCATGTAACGTTAAATGATTTGAATCTTCCGATTCTCTTTTAACTTTTGCTACTAATTGCAGTGACAACCCAGTTTTTTACTTCAAGCGACGTGCTGCATTCATGCCCCAAATGTGACGTACTGCATTGAGCCAAAATTGCGATGCTCCTTACAAGTTTGACCGGGTAACTATATATATATATATCCTTATTAGAAATATGCTCATAATTTGAAGCAATTTTTAAAAGTCTTAATTGCCAATATATACTGTTGTGTAATTCTCTTAACGTCTCTATATGAACCTAAGTACAATCTTCACTTTTTACTCAATATCTATCTCGACAAATTACAACTGTTGATCTTTGTATAGGCAGTCTTACGCTCAAAAAAAAAAATGTATAGAGTGTACGTAACTGCTCCAATATGAGAGAAACCTATACTAGAACCTCCTGCAATAACAACCGATTCAGTAGAAAGTGAAAAACCCGTGTTAAATGATGAAAGACATGACAACGCAATTTTTCAGCATAGCAACATTTGGCCCCACTTGGAAAATAAGTCATTTGCACTATTGCATCTCCTTGCCTAAACATCTTATTAACACTCACTTTATCTACTGATCCATTATTTGGGCAATTTTCGATTTAACGCAATGCTGAACTTCTTCTCCGAATAGTCTGAGAAGACCCTTGCGTCTTTTCGAGACACGTTTACATTCCATCCGAGAGATATTGCCATTTGAGAAAATTGTTCCTTATGCAATTTTTTTTAATAAAAACGTTCACTTTTATTTAAAAGAGGTCCTCCAAATCTTAAGCATCCTCCTAATAAACACCAGAAATTTAATTCGTGAGTTTTGATTGGAGTTTTTTTGTTTCAATTAAAATGAAACATTCTATCACATCTTCAGGTCACTGAAGTAAAAACCGCTGCAGAAACACTATTAACTGACCACAATGCTATATCGACAGGAAAACGCAGCCATTTAAAAACTATTTCGTCAACTCATTTTGACGAAGGCTACATTGATCACCAGAGGATAGTTGAGGCGTCAAATCAATATTCAGACTGGCCAGAGCACGAACACGGTGAAATGGTAGTAAAAAAATTTCAAACCTAGTTTGGAGGTTTAAAGAAATTGGAAATCATTTTGTTGGGGAATTGAATTCGAAGTATTTACCATCTTTTTAGGATTGGCCGATAGGTAAATTATTAAGTAATCAAATGGAAAATTATCCACAAGTTTATCTTTTTTGTTTGCATAAACCCATAGATTGGAAGTACAGGCCTGCTGGTTTGATAGCTGATTCGATCACAAAACTGAAGAGGATCCGTAAAATTTTCAAAAATTCATGAAGACATGTATTTTTATATATTCTGCACTAAAGAAAATAAATTGAAATTTTTTATATTTTTAATTGTATTCTTGTTTGTAATTTTTTGTAACCATCACCGAAGGCTGAGGGGCATATTTATTTTGTCAAAAAGTTCGCAACGTCCAGAAGGAAGCATCAGAGACCTTACAAAGTACATACGTTCTTTATGAGTATCAAATTCTGAATCGATTTAAGCATGTCCGTCTGTCCGTCTGTGTAATGTCTGTTCTACACATTCTCCTGGCTGCAAACACGAAGCTATCGGCCTTAAATTGGTAGAAACAGAAGAAGATTTTGCACACAGGTTGGTATTGAAAGGCCAAATCGGTCGAAGGACACAGCACTATGTAAACTTAGAACACCTCTACTTTTCGAAAGTAATAAAAAATTGGTTTTTTGGTCATTACTCCTAAACTATAACAAATAGATGTACAAAAATTGTAAAGCATATTCTATGGGCGATGGTACTTTGACAGCTTGTTGTATACCAGTCAAGAAAATTAGATTCGACTCTTTTTTAACAAATCCAACGAATTTTTTATATACCACTTATCTCAAAAACACGAAAAAACTAAGTTGCCACTCTCCATACTGTGGTTGCGGTTGATTTTATCTACTTTTCTAAAACAAACGTGGAATTGTTTTCGAACGCTTGTTCTATTTTATGAGCAAGTTGCCAAATACCTGGAAAGCAGAGATGCCCTTGGTTTGCGTTGTGCTGGATTCAGTTATTTGCTCCGCTTTCAATACCAACGCACAGGAAAGAGCTTCAAAAGGATTGTACAGAGTGAACGGGCTTACGTGCGCTCCAAATTTGAAAGAGACCAATCTATTCACTTTATGGGCTTTTTGAACCTTGCTTCTTTCTGTCCTTCAACTGATTTGGCCCACTTTTAATACCAACGGATAGATGGATTGATTTTTGCAGCTAGAAGAAAGTTTACAACGGACATCGCAGGAACGGACACACGGACGTACTAAAACCGATTCACAATTTGGTGCTGATCAAGAATACGCATAATTTGGGGGGGTCTTTAAAGTTTCATTCTTGGCGTTGCTAACGTTTTGACGAGAAGAATGTAACCCTCCTCGAGAAAAACATGCTGAATACGGGTTTTTCTCTTTTTTTTCCTTGCAAATAAAGCATTTCAATGAGAAATATAACATTGCCTATGCATGCCCCTCTCCATTTTCATACAGATTCATGAAAAGCCCTGTCATTGCCAGTAGGCCACGTAAACGTTACAACTAGTTTCGAAAATCAGAATTTTGATTTATCGAAATTCTCTAAAAGGTATCATGATGTAGATTGACGTGATGCACGTGATATCTCGTTGGAATTTTTTTGTTTGGCCACATCAAAGTCTCGATTGTAACCATTTTCCCATAGTCAGTTAGTGTTAAGATGCCAATTCGAAAAATTTGGTAAAAATAGCCCCGAAAACCAGAATTTGATTTTTGTTTAGCTTTTGAAAGATATAATGTATCACATTTTCTAATTTGGACGGAGTAGCGTTTGAAGCGCAACTATATCTTAAACATTGCTAAAGCCGTTTTCCGAGGTCTGTTAAGGCTTTTACAAACCTCTGGTAAGGTAGCTGGCAGATGTTCTTGCTAGTTAAGTTCAAATTTATGTTCACACCCTTTTATTGTATGCCAAGCGACTTCAAATAAAAATGTATTCCATGGAATTTCTGACTAAGAATTTGTTCTTAGTCTTTCTAACTAAGAATTTGTTCTTTTAAATTTCATTAGATCTTATTGAAAATTCTGCTCGGTTTTTCTCGCGGCATGGTAATAACGCCTATAAATCGGGCAACACTCACCTGATTGTCTCAAGCGAAAATGTGCTTAAAAGGTGGCATTTCAGTTTACATTTTTTGTAAAGATAGTTTTATAATTCTTTTCTCTGTAAAAAGTGGTATTGATTTGAAAACGAGGGAAATATCTGAAGAAATACGCTCTGTGATCCTTTTTCACTATAAAAAAAGTAAAATGGCTGCAAAAACCTTTTTTACGAAATGTACGGTGAGAGTGCTGTGAGTGAACGCAAGACCCAAGAGTACTTTGTTCGATTCCGTTCCGAAAATTTTAATGTTAAAGATAGCCTTCGCTCTCACTGAAAAAGTCGGCGAAATTTCGCAAACGGTGGAGTAAGACCGGCATACGATCACTCAGGAAATAGTGGAGGCAGTAAACATCAACCACATGACAGCTCAAAAAGAACAGGCAACAAACAGAATCCCGAAATGGCGAAAAAACGGCGGGTACATTTTAATATGACCTGACACGTTTTTGTGTGGTAGCCTTATTTTCAGAATCGCATTGTGATCGTGAATGAGAACGAATAAGCTTCTGATCTCTTTAAATTTTTTTAACTACATTTACACAGACGGCAGGTAAATCGATAGATGACTTGATGTAACTCGTATTAGGATCTTAGGCTGATTAAGTCTGTGTAGGAATTTTAGGATGTCTAAAGCATATTTCTTAGTGTTACAGAGAAGAAACACAATTGGAGCGTAACTTCATCTTTTAACGATTGGTGTAGAATTAAATAAATATGAAGTAAATGTGTAAGTGTGTTTGAAAAATGCAATTAAGGAAGAATATATTTTTAAAGACTAATATTCCGAATTCAATGCAACAATTTTTTGCCGAATATGTTTTGAAAAGTAAAAGATTCTAGGAGCAAAAAGATAGGATTAGCACTAGCAACTAAGACTTTCGGCCTTTTTTTTAAAAAGGTGGACTGGACAGCTTGTCTACTGGCTTCGATAAGATTAAACATTTTATTGACATTATGTTCTGCAAACACTTTCAAAGCGTCCACAACAAAATCTTTCTTTAGCCACCACAAAATCGGCGTTATTGCTGCCAACTAACTGCCTTAACAAAAAACAGCATATATTTATTCAAGTTGCTTGCTCCCACAATACCAGTACATTTAGAATATTGTGCTTGGAATGACGAACAACTATTAACGCAAATTTTGCTAGCAATTCAATCACTGCAACCATCAGCAAGTACTGCAACGACAACACAATATACTATCACCTCCTTTAAAGGTGTTTACTCTATGTTTAAGGTACTTAAAAGTGCGTATTATAAACCTTAATCTAAAGCGGAGGACCAAAACAAGCTCCGACTAGTAAACGTTATCGCAAAATAAATTTTTTCATCTCGACGACGAAAACTAATACGAAAGCCAAGTCGGCGCTGAACGAAAAAAGAGTGTAAAAGTCGTCGGTTTATATTAAAATATTTGAAAAATGAACTTACTTGTAATTGTTTTTTCCAAACTCTTAGCGTCACTTACTGAATTGATTGATTTCATAACCAAAAAAAATCGCTGATAACAACATCCTAAGCTGATATACTCAGCTGCATAGAAATATCCCGGGCAACCCGGGATCAGTCCTGGATATCGCGGTATCAAAATGTAGTGAGTGTAGTACTTTCTTAAAAACCTCAGTAACTAAGTGCTTTTCGACGTATTATTATAGTTTGAACTGACAAGTGATTTTAAGAAATGGCCTGTTACGTTGTATATTGTTGTTCTTGTTATTCCATTTACACGTAAAATGGATTCCGGTAATAATACATGTCAACCATCAAATCGTGCACCAGTATCAGCTCAGCTACGAATACTAAACGTTGCGTGATATTTTAAAATTAATGTTGTTTATTTTTTAAATTTTTTTCTCACTAGCGTACTTGTTTTGTTTTACTATTTTTAATTTCTTTGCAATTTTTCATTTTTTTAATATCCTGTTCTACCCGTAATTGGATCTCAATTTTTTTTGCTGTAAGGAGTATATA